GCAGCAGCTGTCCTGGACATGCGAATTTTCTCTTCGCCTTTTTTCTCCCATTAGGTTATTACTCCCCAGGGTTTTGTTTTGGGTTTTTTTGCTATTTCTCTGTCTAGGTTAGAATATATCCTTTAAAAACAGAGTTTTGTATCAGAATATGAGAACATTTAGCTGCTAATGATTTCATATATATTAAAATTGAATAGAAAATGAGGGGAAGGGCCTGGGAATTTAGATTGTGAGCAAAATAACTAAGAAATTGGACTATATTGTCAAGACAGACAGACAGTTCCGGATACAGAGGAGCCATTAACCCACAGCCGAATGTTAATGAACAATACACTCCATGGCTGCCCGTTGCTGTCCTAGAATAATTCTCTTAGTCAGTCCCCAGGGAGGAAAAATCTGTATTTCTTGATGTCCCGAGAGATTCCACAAATCTCTCTTGTAACCAAGAAGCACTTTGGCACCTTCGACATGTGACTGCCAATCTGCAACCGTGTTCACGATCCTGTGGGCTTTGGCCCCACCTGCTGTCCTGAGGGGGTGGCCTCAGCCGCCGGGCCCGAGTGACTCTCACTGACCTTGACCAGCCGCAAAAGTGCTGCTACATAAAATACATGAAGTTCAGGTGGGCAGCCCAGAACCTCTTTGCAGACAAAAGGGGAATGTGCGGAAACCTTCTGGCAGACTTGGCCAGTGAATCCATCGATAACGCTGCAAATGTTCCAGGGAGAGGGGTAAAGAAATTCAAAATGGTGCCCATAACCATGCAGCACGTGTGAAAAAGGGCAGGGCTTCAACCTGTGGAGTGTCCACGTGGTCTTCAGGAAATGAAAGCACCCAGGAAGAGTCAGCAGAAGAGGGAAGGAATGCCTCTCTAACACGCTCGACGGAGGAGAAGATGGCCACCGTTTCAGCACATCTAGACCCAGAAGGGCAAGTGCATCCTTGAAAAGTCATCATCTAACAAAGCAGGTGGCAGGACTTAAAAGGCAGCCTGGGAAATGCTTTCCAGGATCTGGAGCACAGTTAGAAGCTTCAGCCTGCAGGATTTGAAATTTTGAAGTACCCTACCTAAATCAGCAGCGCCCTGGCTGAGAGTCTCTCCAGCCCTACCACAGGGAATGACTGAGAATATCTCTGGGAAGCCACGTGAGATCCGTGTCCCTGCACCAGCCTCCCCCCGGCTGGGAGCACTGGAGGAGCTGCGTGCTTGGGAGGGGTTTTCGCTTTAGCCGGGAGCCAAGCACGAACAGCCACGCGCTGTTTCCAAGCACGCGCTGCTTTTAGACTGTACCACCTTGAGCCCCACAGAGGGCAGTCAGGCCAGA